ATGGCTCTGCCTACTGCCTGCCAGTCCTTATCTTTTTCCATGAATCACATCCATATTGAATCATCTACCATTTCTAGTGTTTATTTTCTTTAAAGAAGAGAAAATTTTCAGGACAGTTGCAACCTGAATACAGCATTCTTCTAGGCTTTTATCCTATTATTCCTCTTCTTTTGTTATAGCTGTCACTGCCACATCGAAAATTAGAAAAAAATATGGTAATGAAATATAACTTAAAATTTAGCTTCTAGCTATACAGTTCATTGAGTCCATTCACAATGTCGTACAATCATCACCACTATCCATTTCTACAACTTTCCCATCATCCCAGACTTTGTACCCACTAAACAATACCCCTATTCCTGGTGACCTCTATTCTACTTTCTAGCACTATGAATTTGCCTGTTCTATGTACCCAGGATAAGTGAAATCATACAATATTTGTCCTTTTCTTCCTGCCTTATTTCCCTTAGCATAATGCTTCAAGATTCATCCATGTTGTAATATGTGTCAGCATTTCATTCCTTTTCATGGCTGAATGACATTCTAGTCTATGTCTATAGGTTCTTTTGTTTATCTGCATATCTATGGAGGGCACCTGGGTTGTTTCCATCTTCAGCTGTTGAGTATAATGCTGCTGTAACCATCCGTGTCCAGGCCCCTGTCTGAGTCATGACTTTCAGTTCTTGTGGGTCTAAACCTAAGAGTGGAATTGTTGGGTCAAATCTAAAAGAGGAACCACCAAATTTTTCAAAAAATAATTTTTTTTTTTAAAGCAACATGTCCTAATGAAGACACTCCACTCGGTTTCCCAGCACAATGGCTCTCCTGATTCCTGAGCCTGTATTTCATCAGTTTCTAGACCATGAGTTTCCTGATGAGTTTTACTTCCTCTTCAAGCAAGTGGTGCGGCAGGAAGTCAGAGATCAGGGTCTGCATGGGCAGAATCAGGGCCTGCAGACCCAACGGGCCTGGGTCAGGCTCTCCCCAAGGCCCAGGCCAGGGGGGTTTTCATGGCCTTGAGTTGTGTCACTCCTCTTCGGAGGCCTCAGCACGTTCTGTAAGAGAATGCGGCCACTGTGCTGGTTTAGCATCTTTAAGATGCTCAGGCCCTCACTCTTCTTTCCCAGCAACTTGAGAAAGAAGTGGCCCCCGCCCGTGAGAGCCACATGGTCAAGGTCGAAACAGAAGCCCAGAGAGAGGTGGCTGTGGGGCCCGCAGAGGCAGGGGGCTAGGCGGGTGACGGGGCCTCCACCTCGGTGGTGGAATAATTCTGAGGAATCTGGGAGCGTGTGGTTGTTTGCAGTAAGGAGTTCAGGCAGAAAGAAAACAGGTGTGTTGGCTGGTCTGGGAGGTGGTTGTGAAGGTGGTGACTGGTTAGACGCAAGAGAGGGGTCGGAGGCTGGGAGAAAGGGTGACCCTGGGTCTGTCTCGTCCAGACACTGTTGGTGCAGGAGACAGATCCGCGACTGCTAGACCCCTGCTATGTGTTCTTTGTCCTAAAAAGACAGATAAAAAGATCTGGGAACAACTGTGGCTCTATAGCACACAGCTATAGATTCAGGATGGTGAACTCTCCCTCTGTACATGTGTTGCTGAGAGATTAGAGACAGCGAAGACTAACAGAGAATGGGAAGTTGACCGAGCTGGTCATTTTTGCATGGACTCCTGGATTTAAGAACGGTCTGATGGATTGTCTTCCCTTACACGTTAATGTAGCGGGTGAAAAATGGAAGATAAACAGGGAATAGGGAGGGTGTGCCTATTCTTAGAAAGAAGATATCTTTGAAGTGGAGATTGGAGACCGAGAGGGGATTGGAAGGTTTTCTAGCACAATCACGAAGCTGTAGGAGGAGTGCTTTCATACAGCACCATTCATCCTTGTTAGCAACCCACGTGATTCAAGGTTTGGGTATCAGCTACAGGAACTGGGTTTATTTAGCTTAGAGAGAGAGAAAGAGAGAGAGGCAGAGAGCGGGCATGCTGAGGGGGACTTAATAATAGTCTCCAGGACTAGGAGGGTTATTCTCTGGCTGATGGAAAGCAGCTGTTTCCTGTTTGCATGGAGGACTGGATCAGAAAGAACGGAGTTAAATGGCAGCAAGTGGGCTTAAGAATTCCTTGGCCAGAAAGTCTGAGATGGCAAACCCGCTAGACCAGGGGTAGGCAAACCCCGGCTCACGAGCCACATGGGGCTCTTTGGCCCCTTGAGTGTGGCTCTTCCACAAAATAACATGGCTGAGTCTATTTTGAAGAAGTGGCATTAGATGAAGTTTAAGTTTAAAAAATGTGGCTCTCAAAAGAAATTTCAGTCTTTGTACGATTAATATTTGTTTGTGGACTAATGAGTTTGCCGACCACTGGGCTGGACCAAAGTGACTTCCAAGTTTCAGCATGAGGCGGCAGAGCAGCTGTCTCTTTGGGTGGTTTCAAATGGCTGGGTCTTGAGTGGATAAAAAGATGTAGAGGACATTTCACCCATGTGACAATATGAAATGGCCCATTGTCAGAACCTACTGGGGTTCATTCTGTGCCTGAGGAAACACCTCTTAAAGGCATTTTACAAAGAAAAATATTTATATATTTACATTTATATTTATATAATTTATATTTACTCATATGCATAAATCACATAGATAGATATCATAGATCTATCAATGTATACCATATGTAAGTAATTTCACAATGAAAGCAATGTTTTATTTTAGACTGTAGGTCTAAGAGTTAAGGATAGAAACATGAATGAGACACACTGCTACTTAGGAGCAAAGCAGATACTCAAAAACATAAAATAACACATTATAGGAAGTCAGCAAGGGGAAGGAAGTTAAAGACAGGAAAATGAGTCCTGGGTATGTTAGTCCTTTTTCAGGCACTAAGGCAGATGGAAATGCCAGAAATTTTCCCCACCATCGTTTCATCATTGTTATCCCAGGTTAGGTTAAGTCTATCATTCACTTCCAACTGGATGGATGGTATCGAATTGGCCTGACTGGGAGAGTTCTCAAGGCGAGGTTGGATTTCCAGAGAAAACACTGATGTTAAGCTTTGATTTTAAAGGCATAGGTTCATGTCAGCATTAACTACATACGCAGTCCATGTTTTATATTTTCACCTTGCACCAACATTTATTATAATCTCATTAAAAGTCTCTGCCTCTGTCACTGAATGTTCTATATCGCCTGGACCAGGGTAAGGGCGACTCGTGTTGCAGCTCTGACTCCCACAATCCTCTGGTCTTCAAACTCCAGCCCCGAAGTGGGAAAAGGATAGGGTTGCTCTGCGTTATCTCTACCACGATTCTCTGTGAGACACTGGGTGAGCCATTTAACCTCCTGGAGTTGAGTTTGCTTGATCTACCTGACAGCAACATTTTGAGGATTAAAAAGAAATGAAACAACTAGTGCCAAGCCCAGAACCCAGTGGGCCAAGTCCTGAAGTCCCATTTCTTTTCTTTCTTTAATTCACAAGGAACACCTCGCCTACTGGGAGAACCACGATTAGATTGTGTCCACATTGTGGGGTTTGGTGGACCTCAGGGGAAAGGCCTGAGGAATAAGGTTTGTCGAAAAGTCACACCAACACCTCAGAGTCCAAGTGTATGAATCTCTTTCCTTTTGTAAACTTAACCCAGAAGACAACCACAGGCTACTGTAATGCCACATACTCCAGGAGGCGTCCGTTGCCAAATAACCTGAGACCAAATCACATACACACATAAGGGAAGTGCATTTTCAAGTCGATGGGAAGATTATGCATGTTTGTTTTGCAAGGAGAGTAAATAAATCCTGTAGAAGTTCAGATAGTCATTCAATTCCTTCAGGGGCTGTGCTTTAAAAGGACATCAAATTGAAGACACAGTCCTGAGGAAGCTAAGGAACCCTCCAGAGAAACCGAGGCCATCTGTATGCAATGACCATGGAAGAGTTAGACTGAATGCCAGGAAGGGCAGTAACAGCCACACACAGGGCTGCCCCAGCTCAGTTGGTTGGAATGGCGTCCCACATGCCAAAGGCTTGACCAGTTTGATTCCAGGTCAGGGCACACATCCAGGTTGGGGGTGTCAGCCCCAGGTGGGACATGTTTCTCTCTCACATTGATCGTACTTTCTGTCCCTATCTCTCCCTTCCTCTCTATAAAATCAGCAGCAAGCAAACAAACATAGGGCTGAGGAAAGGTAGGATATGGGTCTGGGTAGAGAGTTAACGCAGTGCTAGGAGATGTAGGATCTTGTTTTCACTGGTTCAGAAAACAATGTCATTTAAAAGCAGAATTTAAAAACCTCACAAAACCCCTAAAATGTCCACTTCTTACAGAAATCTAAGAACATGCTGCAGGTGTTCTTTGTTTATTAGAAATAAATGCCTCCTTCTAACTCGCAGCGTTCTGGCTGGTTTTCTTTCAGACCCTCACTATGTTCCCGGCCAAACTTCTCTTGCCCAAATCCATGGGATATGGAATATCCTTATAAATCAGAACAAGTCACGCTGAGAGCAAATATCCCAGCTTGAGACTTACCCAAAAGCCGAGGCATGCTACATTTTTTAATGCCAGTGGGTTTCGGATCCAGGGTTAGGACCTTTCTGTGTTTATTAGCAGATTTATAATTCAGGGGCCCACAGAGGGCAAGCAGGGACCCCTCCACACATCCCAACGCCCCTCAATGAAAGAAGTCGGGAAGCAGAATAACAAAACCATTAACTTAATAGCGTAGAATTGATGGCCGGAGTCTTGCAAAGCTTATGTCAGCAAAGCAAAATAATGACTGTCACTTTCTATTAGACCCTTGGTTTTATGGGTCCTGTCACATTGATCATAACACACAGCTGATTTAGTGGCTCTGTTTCTCATGGCGAGTGGCCTGGCGGTAGGCTTTCCTGAACGTGGCCATGCATTGGAGAGGACGCTACATGTAGATAACACAAGGGAATACTCTCAGCCATGGCTTTCTCCTGCTGTCTGTATGCCAACCGAGCCCTTCCCCTTGCTCTACCTTCCCCTAGATTCTCAAATCCAAGGATTTGACGTCTCCAACCCAGCGCTACATCGACAGCAAAGTGGTGAAAACAAGAGCGGAAGGGGAATGGCTTTCCTTCGATGTGACCGATGCTGTTCACGAGTGGCTCCACCACAAAGGTTACACCCTCCCTTTGTTTTCCTCTCTAGATGTCCAGCCACCCTAAGTTATTGCAAAGTTGACTGCATATGTAAGGGCACAGACGCTCATGCAAATGACCTCCTTGGCTTCATGTTTTCCAGACAGGAACCTGGGATTTAAAATCAGTTTACACTGCCCCTGCTGCACCTTTGTGCCGTCCAATAACTACATCATCCCCAATAAAAGTGAAGAACTAGAAGCGAGATTTGCAGGTAACTGAAACGTGGTCATGTGAGGTGAGGGAGAGGGGAGGGCCACTGTTGACAACCTTGTGGGTGATGACATCAGTTTGCAGGTGAAAACAGGATTGTTTGGTGAGGTCTAGGGAGTATCATTGGTTTGGGCAGAGATACAGTTGGAGAAAGACACTTGAAGGCAGAAAGGATAGGAAGAAAGGGCTTGGTTCCTACTTTATGCTGCTCGATGCCCAATGATGACTTAGCAATACTCACTGACTGACCCAACAAACCATTACATAGTTATTTTAAGCATGTAAGCGAACCCATGTTCCACATATGCTACTATTATCAACGAAGAAGATAGCGTGTATTTAAGGAAATCCCCCACACCGATGTCAGGAACCCTTATCTGTATTTCACAAAGAAGGAAGCCCTCTTGCTCCCCAGTCCCTTTAACTAACCTTCCATGTAGGGGAACCACTTCACTCTTCCTAGCTGGTGACCAATATTTTGAGTGCCTTCCTTATCAGACTTTTATAATAGTGTCTACACTCCTAACGGGGCTTTAATTTCCCCCAGGCTCCTGCTCTCCTGGTAGATGAATTAGCCAAAGGTCAAGGAGAATGAGGAGATGCCCACAACGTAGGCTTCCCTCTCCTCTCTCATCATCCAATCAGGTGCTAGATTATGAGTCCCTTGATGGTGAGAGGTTGAGAGGGAAGTGGGTGCCGTGTGTGGTTGTGGCATTGGCCTCTCACCACTGGGTCAGGATGCCCCTTGCCCTTCCCTAAGTAACACCACCTGGGCCTTCCATCTATCCAAATGCAGAAGGCTACCATGGCCCCAGCTCATGGAAAAACACTCCCAGAGGTCAGGAGATTTAGTTCAGCCTGTAACCTCATCATGATTCTCCAGGGTGTGGAGATGAAATGCTCAAACTGGCATTCTGCTGAGTGAGCTCTGGGGAGCTCGAGTTTCTAAATCTCAGATGGGATCAGGAAAGTGTTGAGGATGCCATGAACCCAATGAAAAAGCCCTTTCTTCCCAGCTTCCCCAAATAGTATCAGGGAAGGGTGACTTCTGTTTCATTTGAACCGAATTCACTGCAATTTAGGGGAAGTCTTCGTTTCTGTTCAGGAGGAAAGTTTCGAGTTGAGTTCTCCCAGGAAGAGAGGCAACCAGAGAGTGACAAAGGCAGGTTCTATTGCTGTGTGTTTGGTCATGGAGGGGTTTGAACACAACGTGAACTGGGGATTGACTCGAATGAACTGCCTGGGTTGCCCTGGGACTAGAGGTCAAAGACTTCTTCTGTAGCGACTTTCATAGCCAACGAGCCCGGTCTTGGACCTTGACCTGCCTTCTGACAAGAGCCCCATTTAGAAGTGTTTGTTGCCACATGCTTAGCCCTGTTGCACCATATCTATTTCTGTAGGGAATGACTGTCGCCAGCTGATGCTGACATGGCGGTCATCACTGCTATTTGTGACAGTAGACAAACGAAAAAAAAAATATGGCTGATGATATCTGATGAAGGTAAAGCTAAATGTTTATTACCCAAATGCATTTTTTCAAGGTATTGATGGCACCTCCACATATACCAGTGGTGATCAGAGAACTATAAAGTCCACTAGGAAAAAAAACAGTGGGAAGACCCCACATCTCCTGCTAATGTTGTTACCCTCCTACAGACTGGAGTCACAACAGTCCAACCGGCGGAAGAAGCGTGCTCTAGACGCAGCCTACTGCTTTAGGTAAAGAACACAGACATACAACCAAGTCGTTGCCCCTGGTAACCCCTTTACTGCCTCTGCCCATCCCCTGACTACAAATGGACTGGCCCTGTACTCATGGCGTAGGGTCCGGTATAGAACAGTGCGGCCATCGCATTTCATAACATCATTCTTCCCGTGGGCTTAATATAGTTATTTCTGTGTTGTATTCATCATCTCCATCATCTCTTGACCAAGGAATAGAGTGTAAAGGGAGAAAACAAGACTTTTGAATTCCCTGCTCGCGTCCCCCCCCCCCCCCAATCCCTCTGAAGCAGTTTGGGGCTGAGGAAGGAAATAAACTGGCTCTCCCCTCCCCCTACAAGCAAATGGAAGTTCATTTGAAGGATGCGGTGGCTCCCTGGTTAAGGAGGCTCACCCTCTGTATGAGCCTTTGTCTCTACTGTCCATGGTCATAGCGCTTTCACAGTAATTCAGATGCAAGATGTGGAAGAATGCTATTTGTCATGTCTCTAGCTACAGAATATGCGAGAAGGGAGGGCACACAGAGTTACTTTCTGTTCCCACGTGAGTCCACGGAGGGGGCAGTGTGGATGTTCCCCCATGGCTTCTTACCAAGCCTGAGAAAGAGAAGACTCTCTCTTTCCAGAATGGAGCAGCGAGGGGTCCTCGCTGATAAAGTACTCAAAGGGTCAGAGTTCACAAGCATTTGGGGTTGCGAGGGCCAGTATTTGCATAAAATAAGACTCCATGTTTCCCGATCTTTGGTTCATTCCTAGATCACGGAGCATGACATGAAATAAAGGATTTGTTTTCAAAGGAAAATGCCTTAGATGGAGCTTAGAAAAAAGCTGTTGTATGTCCTCATTTTATATTGGAAAGGGCAGGAGAGGTTGGCTGGCAACACTGTGCAGGACTGGTTAGAAAGAGGTTGGTCTCCATCAGCCACCTTTCTGTTTATAGCTGGTCATTCAAGGGAGAGGCTTAATTTTTCAAGATCACAGACACGGGGTCAGGGTATAGAGTTGAAAGGGGAAAGTTGTCGCAGCAAATCACCATCACAACCCATTGGCGAAAGCCGCTTAGGCGACAATGAAACCATGGAAAGCTGGCCCGTGGTTTGGCTAATAGATATTTGCTGAATAAATGAATGAGTCACTTTCCTGGTTTGGGCTGAGGGGCAGGAGGGAAATCTGCTTTAAAATCTCCGTTGCTCTTCTTTTAACAGAAATGTGCAGGATAATTGCTGCCTGCGTCCACTTTACATTGATTTCAAGAGGGATCTTGGGTGGAAATGGATCCATGAACCCAAAGGGTACAATGCCAACTTCTGTGCTGGGGCATGCCCGTATTTATGGAGTTCAGATACTCAGCACAGCAGGGTAAGTACTTGGTTGACTCCTCTCTTCTATTCTTAGGTTGCTAATGTGTATCTGCTGATAACAGCTGACCCTTGAACAATGCAGGCATTACAAGCACTGGCTCTTGAAGATATGTGAAACTTTTGACTCTCTCAGAACCTAACTGGTCATCCCTCGGTGTCGGCAGGGTATTCATCCCAGGATCCTTCACGAATATCAACAAATATAGATGCTCAAGTCCTTTATATAATATGGAGTAGAAGAGTGCCTACTGTCAGTCCTTTGCATCTGTGGTAGTTTGAATCCACCCTTGCAAAAATAAAAATGTTTAAAATAAATAATGCCAACCTTGAGAGTGGATGTGAAGCAAAGGTGACACAGAGGGCTGACTGTATATGTATTGAGAAAACCACATATAAGTGAACCCATGCAGTTCAAACACGTGTTGTTCCAGGGTCAACTGTATTCCCACATGAATGCTGATCATCAGGTGATAATGTTGAAAGAGAGAACGCTAAGGATTCAGTAGATACGTTGGCAAAGTGAGTCACCGGAGTCTGACAATTAGAAAGTGATTTTACTTCTTTGAACCTCAGTTTCTTAACAGCGAAAAGGAACATCTCTCTTAAAAAATTATCCTTAAAGATGTTTTAATCTTTATTGTTGAAAATATTACAGATGCCCCTTTTCCCCCATCAACCCCCTCCACTCCACCTGCCCCCTACCTTCATCACACTATTGTTAAATAAAAATAAAAATTATGTTTTAAGTAAATAATTCCAAACTTGAGAGTTGATGTGAAGAAAAGGTGATGCATGAGAAAATTATTTGAAAATTAGTATTTCTAAGTATTTTTAAATGTAAGCCCAAGTAAGTGAGACTCTGAAAATATTATCAAGTTACTTTAATGAGGATAGAGGCCAATAAAGAGGCAGATCCTAGGTTGGATGCTGGGGGTTCCCAATCCAGATGAGCAAAGAGTTTTATATTTAATAATTATATTTGTTCAAATGCTTCTTTTTTGGTGTCTGATGAGGGGGAAGGACTTCATAACACATTGCAGATGGATCACGAGAATTCTCGATTCATATTACAGTGTTTTACAAAGTATCATACTTTTAAAAGATATTAGGTTGTAAGAGCATGTAATAAATAACTTCAAAATGCAATGGGCACTTAATTTTAAAGACTGCCTTTAGCATTTATGTAAAACGTTTTTTGTACTCGTTCAACAGAAACTTATCTGGCCACTGGGTAAAGCTAGCAATAAAACTATTGTTCCGCAATGTGATAAGTTATCTTGTCCAAACCTGTCACTTTTCTAAAGAAAGGGGAGCCCGGCTGTGTGGCTCAGTGGTTAAACTTTGACCTATGAAGTTTGACCTATGGGGCCAGGAGGTCACAGTTCAATTCCCGGTCAGGGCACATGCCTGGGTTGAGGGCTCCATCCCCAGTAGGGGGGCATTCAGGAGGCAGCCAGTCAATGATACTCTGTCATCGTTGATGTTTCTATCTCTCCCTTTCCCTCCCTCTCTGAAACCAATAAAAAATAATTTTAAAAAAGGAAAAAGAAAGAGCATGTTCATGTAGGTGATGTTCCCCAAACCAAACAGAAGCTTACGAGGTAGACCGCTGGCTTTATAACTAGGCCTCTGTTGGCTCCGTTTGGTAGAGTTTTATTCCTGAAATGTGGCTACCCATTGGGGTTATGCCTCTGCAAATCTCCTTATTAAAGAGGCATTAGACAGCCTGCCTTCCCTGGAGGGTAGGAAAAAGAATCTACTGCCAATGAGATCCCATAATGCATTCAGCTGAACACATGAGCTTCAGGGTTATCAATTATGTTAGACAATCCCTAGTATCCAATTCCTCTTTACTTCCTAAGAAAAATCACGTGTTAGTGGGACATGAAGTCTATTTGCTTATAAATGGCTACCTATGCAGGACTTTAAATTGACAAACTATGGCTCTCCTCCCCTCAGCTGTTTGCCCAGCTCCCCTGTAGATTTTGGCACTTGAGGCCGGCCATGAGCTTGGCCATGTGAGGGAAGCTTGCTCATGCCTGTCCCTTTGTCCGGGCCCTCTAGCCAGGCGGCCTCCTTGGGGCCGTGGCAACAGTAGCTGTAATGTGGGCAGGCCCAGTTGCCAAGTAGAAACATAATTCCCTCTCCCAGATACACAGAGGGAGTGTGTGAAGGCAGAGACCTGCTTGTTTTTCAAGGAGAGAGGAAGAATAACTGTCGTGGTCACAAATATGTGGTTTGGACAGTTACCCAACAAGCCAGAGGTGGCTTAATAAAGTAGCCAGTGTTGCTGCCCTGAACGGATCATCTGTCTCTGGATAAAAAACTCGCAGTGAATCTCGAGGAAAAGGTCACTCGCTGTTTGGCTAACACATTAATGGCATCCTTGGAAATGACTCCTTATCATCACCGGGGAAGCTGCATACTGCCATCGGGAAAAGTCACATTCCCCTCTGATAGAGGGTGGGGTTAGCCCTAGCACATTTGGCTCAGTGGATAGAGCATTGGCCTGGGAAATGCAGGGTCCCTGGTTCCATTCCAGTCAAGGTCACTAAGTACCTCGGTTGCAGGCTGGATCCCTGGCCCATTCTGGGGTGTGTGCGTGACGCAGCCAATGGATGTGTCTCTCTCACATAGCTGTTTCTCCCTCTCTGTCTCTACCCCTCCCTTCCACTCTCTCCAATACTCAATGGGAAAAATATCCTCAGGTGAGGATCAGCAAAAGCAAAAAAGAAAAGAAAACTGCAAGCAAACATAATTTGCATTGCCCATTCAGGGCTACGACGGTTGGGAATTTAAAAATTAATTGCCTTTTTTTTTGTTGTTGTTGTTCTTGTCCTTTCTCCCCGGGGCCCTCTCAGGTTCTCAGCTTATATAACACCATCAACCCAGAGGCATCCGCCTCTCCTTGCTGCGTGTCCCAAGACTTGGAACCTCTCACCATCCTCTATTACATTGGCAAGACCCCCAAGATCGAACAGCTGTCCAACATGATAGTGAAGTCTTGCAAATGCAGCTAAGAGCCTTGGGAAAGTGGCAAGACGGTAACCACACGACGATGATGACGACGATGATGACGATGATGATGATGATTTGACCACAACATAACAAGTTTGTAAGGAGGAACCTAAGAGAGCTTGCTTTGTCAGTGTTAAAAAAAAAAAAAAATCCTTTGAAAAGCGGTACTAGTTCAGACACGTCGGAAGTGTGCATTCTGTTTGTTAAAACCGGCATCCGAAACAAAACAAAGCAAACAACAACAACAACAACAACAACAACAACAAACGCGTGGAAGGCTTGATTCTACATTGCACCTACTCCGTAAGTGAGAGAGACAAGAAGCAAAACCTTTTTTTTTTTTTTAAAGGAAAAAAATAAATAAACACTGGAAGAATTTGTTAGTGTTAATTATGTGAAAGGAAACAAAACACACACACACACACACACAAAAAAAAAAAAAAAAAACAACACAGGAAAATCCCGTTAAGTGGAGTTGTACATATGTTCCTACCCCCGCCGCACTTGATTTGTCTGTATTGCTATGCAATAGTCTCCCTTCCCTGGTCCTACTCTTAGAGTTAACAGTGAGTTATTTATTGTGTGTTTCTACATAATGAACATTTCATGGCCCTTGGAAAAGGAAACAGGTGTACAAAGTGGAGACCAAAAATCCTTTGCCAGAAACTCATGGAGGGTTTTAAGGAACTTGAACTCTAACGAGCCAGAACAAGAAAGAAAAGAAAAAAAAGAAGAAGGAAAAAAAAAAAAAAAAAAAAAAAGAGGTCATAGGAGCCAGATGAAAACCCAGGTGAGTTCTTCTGTGACCACACAAGTCTGTGTTGAGATAAAAGACCCTGAAAACACACGCTATGTCCCAACTGCCCGAGGAAGCATCTTGTAAGGTTCAAAGCCAAAAGCCTGTTAATAAAGGAAACTTGCCCTCTGAAGAAGTCTGGAAAGGTTTTTTTCTTCTTTGTCATTGTAAATGCTTCCCTGTCAGCCCACCAGTGAGAGGTTTCAATGCTTTGATACGTGCTGGTCAAACTTCAGACATGGAAGTCTTGCTGTATAGTTATGTTAGAGGTTTTCTTAGTTTCCGTATATGTAACCATACCTTTATTATTACAATAGATGGGTATAGGAGCCCGTATAATTGGAAACACATCAGCCGATTTTTTTTTTTTTTGCAAACTATTAAATCAAAACATTAACTACTTGGCTTGTAATGTGTAAATTTTTACCATATTTTTAATGTGCTGTAATAATGTCAACTATGATTTAGATTGGACTTAAATTTGGGCTTTTCTTTTTTTCTTTTTTTCATGATCACTCTGAATTGTGTATTTCCTTTAGTTGACTAGTATTTTTTTGAGTAAAGCCCCTAGATTTTGATTTGCACTAAAAATACATGTGTTATATAGTATTTGCTCCACTGTGCTTTGTACTTTGTCTATTACGATGACGTAAGCTACCTGAGTCCACCTGTCCTTTTTTTTTTTTTTCTTTTGCAAAAGGAGATAGATTTGAGTTGACTGGTCTTCCTTCATCTTCAGAGCATCACTACTCATCAGTTTAGACATTAAAAAGCTCCTGTTTTAGGAAAACTGGGGAATAGTATAGATACAGAGATCATTGAGTCAAAATGTTTTCATTTTTAGCAAAGGCTCGAGGATCTGACAGAAACCTGGTGACAGTTACAAAAGGTTTCTCTCACTTGGTTCAATCAGAATTATTGTGACTACACAGCAGCCAGTTCCTAGGACAACTAATCGGGCAGTTGGTATTCCGAGTGGGGGGAATGGAAAGATTTATTTTCTCATTGATTTTTTTTTTTTTTAAGGGAGAGAAAAGAAAACAGGTCAGCATAAGTCATTCAGCTTATTTCACTGAAGGTATTCTAAAAATATGTTTTTATTGATTTTAGAGAGAGAGGAAGTGAGAGAGAGAGATGAAAATATTGATGAGAAACATCAATCAGCGGCCTCCTTCATGCCCCCTACTTGGGATCAAGCCCACAATCCAGGCATGTGCCCTGACTGGGAATCGAACCGGTGACCTCTTGGTTCATGGGGTTGATGCTCAACCAACTGCATTACCCCGGCCAGGCTGAAGTTAAGATTTTTATAGATGTTCTATGAAGGTTGAGAAGGCACAAACCAAATTCTCCCGTGATTAAAAAAAAAAAAAATACATTTTTTTCCCCCTGTGAATGAGAGTTCGCTGCCATTTACTTTGCTTCAATAAATGATTTGCTATGTCACTGCCAAGGAGGTCACCTCATGTCACAGTTTGTAGGACTTGGCAGTTGTCCCTTAGTTAGCTTTAAGCTCAACACACATAGGTCTCACAATGGAATATTTGCAGTTTCACCTAAACCCAAGGGTAAATCCCAAGAGAAGCTGTTTGCTAGAGGCAACCTTTCTGTTTTTGGAATTTCCCGACCGCTGGCGAATTGGATGGTCAAGTTGGATGACTGGAATGGCAGGAGGAGGTAGAGGAGGTCAGAGGCCCCGGTAGCGAACAGCCCTTGTGGTGGATGGAACCCAGTCCTGGATTTGAGGGTGTTGATTTCTTTCCTCTTCCACTTTTCTATGAATTCTATGTAAATCCCTTTTATTCCTGCAGGTATTTTCTTCTCAGAAAATGACATTTTGTTGTGTATTATGTTGTTATGTTGTCTTTCCTCATGAATGCACTGATTAATATTTTAAATGCTCTATTTTAAGATCTCTTGAATCTTTTTTTTTTTTTTAGTTTGGGGGTTCTATAAGGTCTTTATTTCCCATAAGTAAATATTGCCAGGGGAGGGAGGGGAGGGGAGGAGGGAGGGGGAAAGAGGGGGGAAATGTTAGTATGGGGGGTGGGGGGAGGGGCAGTTTTTATGTGTTAAGCAGCAGTACAATTTTACGGTTGACATGGTTTAAAAAAAATGGAATATAAGAATAGCTGTTTTGTATTTTGATGACTGATCCCGCTGTATTTTAACACGATGTATGTCTGTTTTTTTTTTTTTTTTGTGGTGCTCTAGTGGTAAATAAATTATTTCCATTACACGTCCATGTGTTTTTCCTGCCGTAGCGACGTCACTGAGACTAGAAAGGCCCCTGAGGCCATGACAATGCTCTCAAACTGCACGTGACTGTGTCCCCCTCCCCCAAAGTCCCCCCCCTCCCCACCTCAACCCCCCACGATCCTGGCTTCAGAAATGTCATGCTTCATAGCTCAAGAGCCAGGCCTTATCTCTCCGGAGCTGAAGAAAACCCTGTGCTGTCTTTGGAGTCTCTTGTTTATGGCTCTTTGTAATTGTCTGCGATGTCGTTTGCATCCAGCTTGACTGTCTACCAGAATAAAAATTAAAAAAAAATGCAGCGAGATGTTTGGGCCAGCCTCTGGCTTTCTGGTTCTGTGGTCTGCCAACCCCAGGGCCAAGAGAACCGGTCTAGACAGCATCCCCTGTAGTCCCATAACTTGGATCGCGGCTGAGCCAGCCAGATATAACAAGAGCCACGTGCTCTTTGGGGTTGGTCGTTGGGAGCTGCCACTTCTCTCTTCATTTCGCCCCGTACCAGGGCGCCGAAGGAAAAAAAAAAAATCCCATTTCCACAAGTTTCCTTGGCTGTTCCCCGCAAGACCAGACTTCGCAAAGGGGGTTGCCAAACTCTTAATAAATAGCACTAATAAAAAAAAAGGGATGGTGGCTCCATCTGGTTGTCTTGCTTTATCTAATGAAAGGACCGATGTGTGCCTGTTGTCGACACAGCATGTGGAAATGAACCGTTCAATGCAAATGTGTAGGTGGAGGGGGAAAGGGTTCCTTTCCTGCCATCTGCGTTTCTGGTTTCGTACTCAATTCAGAGGGAGTATTTCCCTTTAAAACAATTAGCTGGTGCTTCTCTGCAGAGAGCCAGCTACAGGCCGATCATCCCAGCCCATTTCCCCTTATGTGCCGAGTGAGAAGAGGAGGGTACAGAGGGTAAGATAGGAGTCAGCTGACAATGTGGGCAGAGCGGTCAGCCACTTTGAGCCTCTGTGTCTTTCTCTTTAAAAGGAGGACCACCTGCCTTCCAGGGTATTGCTTGTTAAGTTGTTTTGTTGTTAAGTGAGCGGACATATGATGATCAATAATGGTAGCCTTGACACTATTTCCCAACCTATTCTGTTTGGGGATTTATGGTAATCCTGTTTGCAATGAGCTTCTTAAAAAGAAAAGTTTTTATTGATTTCAGAGAGGCAGAGAGAGGGAGATAGAAACATCAATGATGAGAGAGAATCATCCATCAGCTGCCTCACGCATGCCCCCTATGGGGGATGGAGCTGTAACTGGGAATTGAACCTGGTCTCCTGGTTCCTGGGTTGACCCTCAATCACTGGTCCACACTGTGTGGGCAGCAATGAGCTTTTTATATCCAGGCTGGAACCTGGGCGATATTTTTCCATCTTGATACTGAAGGTGTAACCACCCACCCACCAGTCCTTAATCTCATAAATGGATCAAGCCATCAGCCACCCCTAAGAATATTCTGGGAACCCTATTTGTTAACTTTCTGGTGACAAGACTGACCCAAAACTGTGTAAAACAGTGGGGAAATGTTCTTGTTATGCTTTGCTTAAAAGTCCACCAACTAAGATCCAAAGTAAAAGAGACCACGTGGCCAGCTGGATGACCGATGTCTTAAGACAATGATAATGATAACTGTGGTTTGCTGAGCACGTAGTAGGTACTGTTCTCTGTTAATCTAGTGAACCTCCCATTTCACCCTGGGATGTAGGTTTTCTTTCTTTCTTTCTTTCTTTTTTTTTTTTAAAGTAACTCCATTTTACAGGAAGTGAGCAGACTCTGAATGGTTCCATTACATGTCCTACATGTCCAAGTGGGGTGAGGGGGTGAGGGGTGCCCACGGGGATGGCACTAGGTGTTAGACGGGTGGGATCAGACGCGACCTGGGTTCTGCAACCTCAGTACTTGAGCTCTGGCTAGGCAAGAATTCAGAGCCAAGACCCAAACTATAAGAGAACGTGTATAATAATAAAAGGGTAATATGCTAATTAGACCGGGCCAGCTGAACAACCTTCCGAACGTCCTTCTGAGCGACCTTCGGACAAAACCCGGGTGCGAGGCCAAGTCCCTTGCACGAATTTTGTGCAGCCGGCCTCTCGTTTATTTAGAAAAGCACAGAGGTGGAAGAAATAATTATTGGGAGAAATGGGCTTAGGAAACACCTTAGCCAGGCGGAAGTGAGGAAGGTCAGCACTAGGGCAGAGGGTCATATCCGGGGCAGCTGGTCCTGAGGTCAGCCCTGCGGGGTGCTTGTCTGGTTTTGCTGCTTTTCTGGGCCTGAAGCCAAAATGCACCTGTGGCCTAGATGTTCTCTCTCCAGGAAGAAAGACCAGGGGTCTAGACGCCCTAACCGGTTTGGCAGACTGAAAGGTCCCAGGTCGATTCCGGTCAAGGGCATATACGTTGGTTGCAGGCACGTCCCCAGTAGGGGGTGTGCAGGAGGCAGCTGATTGATGATTCTCTCTCATCAATGTTTCTAACTCTCTATCCTTCTCCCTTCCTCTCTGTAAAAAATCAATAAAATATATTTAAAAAATAAAGTTCAGAGGGTCATGACCAGCTAGCATATGAAAGGCCCGGGGTCTAAACCACCTACGAGCAGCCATATGCTAGAGGAAGAAAGGTCACCATGGCAATGAGGCTCTGCTCTACCGTAGCTAGGCACGTGGACCATCATCCTTGTTCCGAGCTTTGTCTTTCTAACTGCCTACCACACAAGGTCACTCAGTTTGTAAGAGGAGGGTCTTTGTCCAAACTCTCACTACTAGCCATATGTGGCCTTCAAGCAATTGACATGTGGAATTAGGGATAAACTGAGCTGAACTAGGCCAGTGGTTAGCACACTCATTAGTCAACAGAGCCAAATAGCAACAGTACAACAATTAAAATTTCTTTTGAGAGCCAATTGTTTTAAACTTAAACTTCTAATGCCACTTCTTCAAAATAGGCTCACCCAGGCCGTGGTATTTTGTGGAAGAGCCACACTCAAGGGGCCAAAGAGCCGTATGTGGCTTGTGAGCCACAGTTTGTTGACCACGGAACTAGGCCAAGGTGTAAAATACACATCTGACTTGAAACACTGCAAAAACATGGAAAATGTCCCATTGATTTTCCTATTGATTATATGTCTAAGTAAGACTATTTTGGATCTGT